GTAGCAAAATTAAGTAAATATTTAGATATATTTTGAATCGCATGATAATTGCAGTTATATAAAATAGATTTGAAAAAATGTTATTTAAGCTGATTAAAAAAAATTGTAAACTTTTTATCCTCTTCATCCACTGATCTAGACTATTCAAGTAGCTAGCTCGGTCAGCAAAAGAGGAGAAAGAAAATAAAAACAAAAACTCTTCGATTTTATCCATAGAGATATAATCTTCAAGTTTTTGTTAGTAACATTATATAAAAATTGTAATTTTTAATTTAATCAGCTGTCTTATGAGATTTTTGCTGTATACCTTTTTAAGTGTTATCACAATAATATTGTATAAAAAATAATAATTGTGTTTTGAACTTTTAAAGCTCCTGCCGCCGCAGCACCTGCCAGCGCTGAAACTGCTCCAGCCAAAGAGGAGAAGAAGAAGGAGGAACCAGAAGAAGAGTCAGACGATGACATGGGCTTTGGTAAATAATATCAAATTTATAATATTTAATGTTATAAAGATAATGACAAAGAAGATATACAGACACAAAGGACATTCAATGATTAATATAGCATGTATTAGCTACGGAATATACATATGACGACAATATTTCAAAATGAGAATAAGATGAATTAAATTGTCCTAATCAACGAAATGTAATTAATTTCTATTTTAACTGCGATATTTTTTGGTTACAGGTTTATTCGACTAAGCTGAAGGATCGCGTTGGTCCATACTTTTTATATATGTACAGTTACATTGTACAATAAACGATGAAACACAATTTGATAAGAGGTATATACTTTCTTTTTTACCATAGAAAAGCGATCACAAACAATCAGGATATATATTTCTTTTTCTTCAATTTTTAAAAAATAATTGCTTCATTATATGCTCGCGCTCTCTCGCTCGCTCTCTCTCTTTTTTTCTCTTTCTCTCTTCATGTATATATATATGAATATCTATGGGCGCATTCAGCGGACTCAACAGTTGAGCATCTTGTCAACATTCGACATTGATTTGTTGGTTCTATAAGTAAGAATCAATCACGTTCGATTGCTACCCAACTGTTGAGTCTGCTGAATGCGCTGAATGAAATATGCACAGAACATATTTGACAAACCATATATAGGATGAAAATATATTATTTTCTATCTGTTCTGCTATGCACACATGCACATCCAAATGTCTCCGTTTTCTATAATGTGTATGCTATCAATGAGTGAACTACAATTTTAATCATTTTATTATATATTTTGTCTTTGGTGTCCTCTTTGACAATATTTCAATGAATCTCACTTTGCGATGTTTAAGCCTAGTTTTTCTGCATTGCAATCATATTGGATTATAATATCAGAAATAAGAAAACATGAATTATTTTCTTATAATATTCTTGTCGAAATAAGCTTTTTTTTTATCATTATTCGCGTTCGATAATATAGATTGGTAAAATATATTAAGTACTTCTCTTCTTTTGCTTCTTGAATTAATAAATAGCTCTAAATCTTGTAATTCATAAAGTTTATTTTTGCTGAAAATATAAGACATATGCAGATAGAATTATGTACATTTACTAATGTCAGATAAAAGAGGGAGTTTTTAATATATTTTACAAATCCATTCTATCAAATGCAAATAGTGTGTGAGAAAATTGATTTATTTCAATGTATTTTGCAAGAAAAGAATTTTACATGAGATTCTCGTTTCTAACATCTTAAAATTCGATATGGTTGCGATAAGGAAACAGGAATCTTGATAACAATTATTCGACCAATGGAAGAACCTGCTTTCATTGGTGGATTCATCTTCTTTTCTTTTTTATATAATAATCTGTCTCGTGTAACAAAATGAAAACAACTTTATATGTATCGCTATATGCCATAGAATCAATTTGTGCGATTATTACAATTTATCATATAATAATTTAACTCGATTACATGCTTGTGCTTTTATGCTACATAAAACGATTGATGAATAACATCCCGTCGTTTTATCGTTAATCAGTTGGTGTATATGGAACGGAAATGGTCATCGTAAAATTTTTGATGTACATAAGAATCTAGATGTACATCAAATCTATTATAGTTTTCTTCAAGCACGATAAAAAAAAAATATATATATATATATATAAAATAAAAACTTTAATTATTCTAATAGCACGCACACGATAAATTGAAAATAAAAGAAATTAGCAATAGAAAAGCAATAAATTTTTGTTTGATTGTGCTTAAGTTGGTTGCGTCGACTTAATAGTCGTGTGAGATGCAAAACTCAAACATCCTTTGACATTCCCATTAATAAATAATTGATAATCAATTTAGCCGTTCGTTTTTGAAATAACATAAAATGTTTGAAATGTTTCTTCGTAGAAAATGGAAGATGTTAATAGTAGTGATTAATTTAAAGAGCAAAATACACAGTTCTCTACGCCGTTCAAAGATCTTTCTTTGTACTGCGATATAGTTTCTCAAACTTCTTTCATTTCTCTCTTTAACAAGAAAAGTATCCAGCTGTGCACTGAAATATTCGATAATCGGAGGGCATCTGGTTTTGAGGGCCGTCTAGAGCTGAAAATGTTGACAGCTGCCGCGAACGAATTTTTTTGTCATTGAATCCAAGTTTTCGAACACCGGCATGTGTTTGAAAAGCGGTTAACGTAAGACAATTTTAAGGGGGCATACCCGTTTGAAACCTCGAAAAATGAATATATTTTCTAGACTTTCTGCAGCGCAACGACTTGATAAAAACTTTTAATTTTTTTACAATATTAATACAATATTATTAACTACTTAAATAAGAAATTTCTGCTTAAAAAAATATTTTTTTTTTTAAGTTATGGAAATATTTGTAGAGCTCCTCCAAATTTTAGATGACTGCACGGTGTGCATAAATACGTTCGTTTATCAAATCCGAAATAAAAAATACAAGTTTTTTTTTATTAAACATATTAATATTTATGCGATACATAAAACTAAATAAAAGTCTGTCTCGAATTTTGTTGCAAATTATATATCTAAAATGAATTTTAATTGCATTAAAGTGATCAGATGGCGATTAAATATACAGAACGTCTCAGAGAAGTCGTGCATTTCTTGAAAAAGAAGTCATACACTTCCACAAAGGAAGAGAAAGTACGTGACTTCCGAGACACTCTGTACATGGTTGCCGGACGTGGTTATGTCTCACAATTAAATATGTATATGAGAGATACTCGTTTATATAATTGTTCCGACATACGGAGAACGCGAACGTAACACGAAGCGAATTACATACATATATGCATACACGCGTGCGTATACGCACGCACGTATGTACGTCCGCAATTTTCTTCAACACGCGTAGAAAGAACAAAGGTTTCGGATACCCCGATGTGTCGCGTCTCAAGCTGACCTCGATATTATATTTTTTTAGAGCACGAAACCGGATTATCTCGCGAAATGGGCTCTTCGTCTGCTCCGCTGCTCGAGAAAAGCGATTTTATCGTTCGCTTTGTACACGCAATCGTGTGTTCGCGTTTTACTATGACACGTCTCGATGTTATACAATGGACATACGCAAAAAGAGTTTTTACGATTTACACAATTATAGATAATTTGTCTCGTGTTATTTGCACCATGAAATCGCTCTACGAATTAATAATACATGACATGAATAATATATAAACGCTCACAAATTGGTGACGTTTGTAATGAGAATACCGAGATATTTAATGTAAAACGCTATGCTAATTTTTTTTTAGAATATTTCTATTTTTAAAAGTTTGCAAGTGGAAATTTATCGTTTATCATTTATTTATCAAATAACAATCAGAGTCTAATTACGGTTGATAGTGCATAATAATTAAATGTTTTTCTGAAATTTTTCCTTGTGCTTAGTCATGTCTTCTAATTTTATCACTCTTTCTTTCTCTTTCTTTCTATTAGAAATACTATATTAAATATTTTATTAATTTATAGATTTTGTAATATGCAATCTATTTTAAATGAGACGGTATTTGAACTTGAATGTGCGACGCATACTTTCGAAACTTTCTATACATAATTTCATATTCATGTAAAACATATCGAGCATTTCATACAATCGACTATATCGTTAATAACTCATCCGAGATAAATCATGTTAACTTTTACTAATTTCTCTATAGAACAAGTCTTGTTGCATTTATACGTATATCGTTAAACGATAAAAAGAATTATCTGTTGACGTATGTGAATAATGAAAAGCAAAGTTAATCATTGCCATTTCATTAGCATTTACTGACCCTCAAATAATTGATACTAAAATCGATATCAGTTTTAAATACATTCATGAAAATTATATACGGATTATTCATGCGAATTATTTAATAATTTCGTAAACGTTAAATATTTCAGGAAAACACAGAATTGTTTTTGATAAAAATTTAAGAGCCTGTATGTGTCATATTTTTCTATTTTATATATAGAGAATTTCCTATCTTGTCATAAAAAAATGGCGGCGTGTTGAAAAAAAGTCGTTTTTTTTTTTAGTCCATCTTTGTTTATAACAAAAAAATGGGGAATCGGGTTTAAAAAAGGCTTCGTTAGCAGATGCGGAATCTTATTAGGAACTCATACTCGCATGCCGCTGGTTGGATTCTTATCAACGCTTATACCGCTTTGAAGTAGATAAAAGCAAGAAAAGTGTTTACATTATAGACTTTATTACATTCGTATGACACTTAATATATGAATACATTTCTAACATCGGATAAACGTGCATTAAATGCGCCATGCAAAAATTCCTTTCTTTAAATAGAGAACGATGATCCTTTCTCTGTCTTAAAAAAAAAAATATATCATTTTCTTAATTTTGCATATTTTGCATGAAAATATAAATCTGCAAATATTCGCATAACTCTAAAAAAAATTTTTTTTATAGCTGGAAATTTTTATTTAAGTACTTAATAATATTGTATTAATATTGTAAAAAAATAAAAAAATTTTATCAAGTCGTTACGCTGCAAAAAATCTAGAAAATGTACTCATTTTTCAAACGGGGATGCCTCTTTAATTAATCACTTTCACCTTTTTTTATTTTCATGCGCGCAATATGTGGTAACGATCGCTCGTAGACACAAGGATTACGACCTTTTTAATAATCATAAATTCTTAATTAATTATACTGTTGTAGTGGCAGATAAACAGTCGGAATGAAAGAGGCTCTTTAGTGTTTATATAATATGTGTTTATATAATTAATGACGTAACAATCATTGCACACGTGGAAATTATAAAATCTTTGAGAGGCGATAAAAGTTCATGCCGGATGCAATTGCGACTCTCGTGTATTTCTCGACGATTGAACGATGAATGCTTTCAATTAAAAATTAAAATCGTTTTATATTCTCACACATGTAAGATTATTATAGTTTTACGTACGTGAAATCGCAATCTTTTTCGCGTTATTCGACATCGAATGGCATAGTTTTCTAATTGCTATGTTCTAATTGCTATGATCGCGTAAATATGGTGATTTATTTATGCCAAAGCGTCATCCTGACCGATTACAATAATCGCACGCGTATGTCTGGAGCTAGCAAGTGCTGCTAGCAATGCTCGACCGCAAGCGTCATTAATTAAAATTATAATTGTCAATAAACTGCAATGAAGTATCATCTTTGTCGCGTGTAACCCTAACCGTAGAAATAAATTGTCTTGTCCCCTATCGAGGTCGCTTGTAAGCGTCGAAAGGTCGTAAAGAGCGAAAAGTTCCAGCGGTGACGCCTTCTCGAGTCAATCGAAAATTTATACATACCAATACGTCATGATA